AGAACTGGAGGCAACACTCTCAGCTTGTCGATCATTGGCAGCTGGGCCCGATGACATTCATATTCGTATGCTACAACATTTACATCAGTCAGCCCTTGCAGTCCTATTACGCCTTTACAATCTTATTTGGTCACAAGGAGTTCTTCCACAGCTGTGGAAATCCGCCATTGTTCTCCCTTTCCGCAAACCAGGCACTACGGGACATGAAACCTCCCACTATCGTCCCATTGCTCTTACCAGTGCAGTTTGCAAAGTAATGGAACGCCTAGTAAATAGACGTTTAGTGTGGTAGTTAGAGACACACAACAGTCTCTCCACTCGTCAATATGGCTTTCGTAAGGGACGTTCTACCATAGACCCCTTACTACGCTTGGATACGTATGTTCGTAATGCCTTTGCGAATAACCACTCAGTTATTGCCATATTTTTTGACCTTGAGAAGGCATATGACACAACTTGGAGGTATAATATTTTAGCCCAAGCCCACTCCTTAGGCCTTCGAGGCAATCTACCATCCTTCCTTAAGAACTTTTTAACTGACAGGCATTTCCGTGTTCGGGTTAATAATGTGCTCTCCCCGGACTTTATCCAAGCTGAATCTGTCCCCCAGGGATGTGTTCTGAGCACAACACTTTTTCTCCTTGCTATTAATGATTTGGCCTGTAGTCTTCCATCAAATATTTGGTCATCACTATGTTGATGACTTCGCTATTGCCTGTGCAGGCGCTGACTGTCACCTCATTACAGTTTCTCTCCAACATGCAGTCGACCGTGTTTCCAACTGGGCCACCACACGTGGGTTTAAATTTTCCAGCACTAAAACCCACCAAATTACTTTCACTAGACGCTCTGTCATCTCCGATCATCCTTTGTACCTCTATGGCTCCCGTATCCCTGAACGTGATAGTCAAGTTTCTGGGCCTCCTCTTTGATCGTAGGTTATCCTGGAAACCTCACATTACCTCTCTGAAGGCAACTTGTCACAGCCGGCTGAACCTTCTTAAAACCCTCGCTCATCTTTCATGGGGAGCTGATCGTCGAACCCTCCTTCGCCTACATTCCACCCTTATTTTATCGAAACTTGATTATGGTGACCAGATCTATTCAGCGGCATCTCCTGCTACTCTCTCTAGCCTTAACCCCATTCATCACCAAGGATTACGTTTATGCCTTGGTGCTTTTCGCTCTTCCCCTGTCGAGAGCCTCTATGCAGAAGCGAACGTTCCATCCTTATCCGATCGCCGTGATGCCCATTGCCTGCGCTACTATGTATGCTCTCATGATCTCCGCAATCCTTCCATTTATAGAATGGTCACTGATATTAGTAGACATTCTTTATTTGTTCGCCGCCCCTGTTTACTCCGTCCTTTCTCTCTTCGCCTTCATTCACTCTTGTCTTCTCTTCAACTACCACCTTTCTATGTACATGTAGCATCTCACTTTTCCCTACCCCCCTGGGAAGTTCCAGCCGTTTGAGTCTGTTCTTTCTCCCTCCCTTGCTCGAAAGCCCAACTGTCTACGGTCGCTTCCCGCTCTCTTTTTCTTGACCATTTTCACTCTCATTCTCATGCCATTGCTGTGTACACAGATGGCTCTAAGTCTTCTGACGGCGTAGGATTCGCAGCAGTGTTTCCGGACAGCGTCGTACAAGGGCATTTACTATCTTCGGCTAGTATTTTTACTGCTGAATTATATGCCATCCTTACAGCACTTATCCGTATTGCATCTATGCCTGTGTCATCATTTGTGGTTGTCTCAGACTCCCTTAGTGCTTTACAGGCTATACAAAAATTTGATACACCTCACCCCTTAGTCCTCCGTATCCAACTTTGGCTACGCCACATCTTTACCAAGCATAAAGATATTGTTTTTTGTTGGGTCCCTGGTCATGTTGACGTACAGGGCAATGAACAGGCAGACACTGCTGCGCGGTCAGCAGTACATGACCTACCAGTTTCTTATAGAGGTATTCCATTTACGGACTATTTTGCTGCAATATCTTCCCACCTTCACACCCGTTGGCAACAACGTTGGTCTACTATGCTCAGCAACAAACTTCAATCTATTAAACCGAGTATAGGTTACTGGCCGTCTTCTTATCACCAGTGTCGAGGTTGGGAGACTACTCTCTCCCGTCTTCGCATTGGCCATACTCGTCTTACTCATGGATATCTCATGGAGAGGTGGTCTTGCTCCTCTCTGTGAGAATTGCCAAGCTCCATTATCAGTCAGCCACATTCTGTTGGACTGCCCACTTAATCAACGAGCACGCAGAATTTACCTCTGTCGTCGTCTTCGCTCCGCTGCTCTCTCTTTACCTTCCCTTCTCGCTGATGGACCCCACCTTTCATCCGGACTCTCTCATTGACTTTTTGACAACAACTGACTTACTTCACAAATTCTGATACCTTCAGCCCTTTCTACTTCAATCTCTTGCTACCCTCTACCCCCGTACTATCCCCTGCCCTGCTGTTTTCTGTAACCTACTGATCATCCCTCCTCCCTTCTGCCATCCAATACCCTCGCTTCCTTCCCTACCCTGCAGCGCTGTATAGCCCTTGTGGCTTAGTGCTTCTTTTTGATTATAATAATAATAATATAGAAGCAAGCACAAAAATGTTGTGTTTGTTGAGTTCTTAGACATGCAGGTGTTAGGGGCAATGAGAATGGAGACTCAGGAGATGAGTCAGCTATTCACCAACCAGTAGTCTTTCACAAGTGTTTTTTTTTTTTTTCAGATTTTTTCCCAGTACTGTACACTCATCATCAAAATCACTCAAAGCAACATTAGTCAGAGTTAGAACTCCATAAATTGTTTTCCATAAAACCACACAGTTTTCTAGCTATCTTTCTACAGTTGTCTGGTATGGGAAACTACAGGTTAACAAATTGGGCACACAACTAGCACTGATACCACATGGAGTAACACCCAGCACCTCTGCAAGGACTACCAGGCTGTACTAACAGTTTACAATATCTTAACAGAGTCCTTTGAGAGAGTATGCAGAAGTCACTTTCAATATACACAATACCCTGATGCACTCGCACAAAGTGACCTTTTCCAAAAGTGCTGCCTTCAACTTGGTCTCAGAAATAGATCTTCTGAACATTTTCCCATTAGCACCAAACATCATTAACTTCTGCAAGATAATGAGAGCAATGTTGCAGTGTGTTGCTATACATCACTCCAATTTCCTGTTGCTTGTCCTGGAATAAATTTTTTCACTGAATGACCCATATGGGTTTAGTGCTTGCTGTAAATGAGTTAATAAACTACTACATCCGTTACACATTTCTCCAACAGCAACATGCAGCATCCCATCACATACAGGGTAAGGTTTTTTTTTTTTAATTCTTTCTCTGTGTAACACTGAATGAGCCTTATAAATTTTACACTATTACATAAATCAGCTATGAATACAGCCTGTGTGTACTGACATGTATGTAATTGCAGGGGTTGAGTCACAGCTCCTGACCTCCATCTCTGCTGGTTGCTACTAGGTCCACTCTCTCCAGGCTCCAAGAGCCTTATCATATTTCTTAGTTATGTATGGATCCTACCTCCACTACTTCACTCTCCAGATTGTTCCACTTCCTGTCAACTCTAAAGCTGAAGAAATACTTCTTAACATCCCTACGACCCATCGGAGTTTATAGCTTCCAGTTGTGTACTCTTGTTCCTGTATCCCATTTCTGAAACAATGTGTGTGTGTAGTCAGGGTTAGTCTGTATGCTTCCCTCTAGGGAGGTGTCTTGTGCCTTGGTGCTGGTTTGGGGGCTCTTGATCTGAGGAAGAACACGATTGCTTCCCATTCCCCCAGGTGCTGGATGACCCCTATGGGTTTAGCTCATAAAATGAATATGAAATGCTCTTATTTTCTAGAGAATTGGAGCTATCCTTGATTCTAACCTGGGGACCTCCTATGTTCCAGGTGTTAAATAACCACTGCCTTGATCCTCCCATGTATTTTATGACTCGTATGGGTTTAGTGCTCCCCTATGAATTAAAAAAATATAAATGTCCCCAATAAGGTTTCAGGCTGCCACAAGGAAAAACTATTACAACTCCAATATTGTAATTCGTTGATTCAAGCCTGAGTGCCTTTCATTTCCACCCCCCTCCTGCTCCCCAAGTGTTGCATGACTCCTATAGGTTTAGTGTTCCTCCCCATGGGAAAAAAGTAGCTTCAAGACAGGTCCCCGGGTCTCCCTTTCAACTTATTTGTGTGTATGTTGTATGTTTGGATATGTATGTTGTATGTATGACTTGTATGTATGACTGTTGTATGTATGACTGTATGTTGTATGTATGAATGTATATGTTATATGTATGAATGTGTATGCATGAATGTATATGTATGTATGAATGTGTATGTTGTATGAATGTGTATGTTGTATGTATGAATGTGTATGTTGTAGTATGAATGTGTATGTATACCTGGAGAGGGTTTCGGGGATCAATGCCCCCACAGCCCGGTCTGAGACCAGGCCTCGTGGTGGATCAGGGTCTGATCAACCAGGCTGTTACTGCTGGCCGCACGCAAACTGACGTACGAACCACAGCCCGGCTGGTCAGGTACTGACTTTAGGTGCCTGTCCAATGCCTTCTTGATATGTATATTGTATATGTGAGTGTATGTAATATGTATGAATTTGTATGTATGAACGTTTGTTGCATGTATAAATGTATGTTGTATATGTATGTATATATGTATGGTGTATGTTGTATGTATGTGTGTAAGCATGTTGTATGTATCAGGTATTGAACGACCCTTATGGGTTTTTCCCCTATGACCACTATAACAAAAACAATATACATAAATGCGAGGCTCCAAATTTTAATTTATCAGACACATCTGCATTATATGACTAAAGTAACTATAACTATATTTCAAATATCTCTCAAAATGTGTATACAGAGAATTAATAGAACATTTATCGAGCACAAAATAAATATTTAAATACATAAATAGTGGACATGTAATATATAATTTTTGACAAATTGAAGTTAATAAGATATACAGCAGTGGCGTGCAGTCAAAACATCGAGGTGCCACAAGGTGGGAAGGTTGGTCGCTGCTCTCGCTATTTCTCTCAAAAATGGACACTGACGATCTAAGGTAATGTAATTAATGCATTTAAAGACACATTGAGTTGCCTGTGTGTGGAAATTCATGACTATAAATTAGTTTTAACTTATATTGTCTTGTATCAGTTGTTATTAAAGGTCTGTCAGCGGCTCTTTAAATGTCTTGTTTATCATTTGCTCTGGTAACTATTTTTCCCCCATTTTAATCGGCATAATTGTGTCTAGGCCTTTTGTAATAATTTCTTCCTCATATTAACACAAAGTGTTTATTGACAGAATACCTGAGACAAAACTTAATAGGACAAATATATAGATACCGAGACTACTAAACAGAACTTTAAAAGTGGTAACCTTGATAAAAAAAAATCGCCAGCAAAGAATTGTAGCCCTGTTAGATTGACATTATAGTTTGTTAATTTAAGGATTATAAAATATGAAAATCTCATGTTGTTGAGTCTCTGATGACTTAGACACATACAACACCTGGGTATCTGCATTTAAAGACGTTTTAAAATAAAAACACATGTATTTAATTCATCAACTTGTCAGCATTGTATACTATTTATATTATCATAAGGGCCTGAAAAGAAATAACTTCCTCTTTCAAAATTTGGCATTTACTCTAACTTGTTTTACTTGAAAGAAAATCTTGGTACAATATACTTTTTTGACAAGAAGTGTCATTGACAAGTCTTTCAACAACAACAACAAAATTCACATGATATTAAAGAGAATAAATTTAATGAGAATTTCCTTACTGGCAGAAAAGAAATTGAAGTGTAGAATGCAGGATGGATTATTACAGTGATTCTCTGTATCAACCTACTCACCATACGAAACATCCATACTTATTATTGCACCTATTACATACATAGAAAACTTAACTCTGATATTAACCCTCCCCTCAAACATCTTGCCAACCTCAACAGAACACATGACCATAACACAAGGCACAGATCACTCTTTGATGTTCCTCGTGTCCATCTCGCGCTATGCAAAAACTCAATGCACATAAAAGGCCCTAAAATCTGGAATTCATTACCTGTAAATATAAAAGAAACACTACCTGTTTATAAATTCAAGTCTCTTCTCAAAGATCACTTACTCACTCAAAACCAAATGAATATTGAATAACTGAACCTTATAAATTGTATATCCTATATGTTACTCACAATTATATCACACAAATGTTAAACCTAGGACCCAATCTAACTTTATTATTTTTTTAAATACTCCATTCGACTGAATGTACAGCAATGCAAGCAACCATATGACCTGTCTTTGTAATCCTCATTTGTGCTTTATAGTTATCTGTTTACAATAATGTTTTATCACTGATTTCATCATTGCTTAGTTAATCTTAAGTTAATTTTAAGCCAGCCCGTAATGCTATGCATATAAGTGGCTTTGGCATGCTGCTCTTACCTGTATTTTTTGTACCTCTGTTTGTATGCTTAAATTACTAAATAAATAAATAAATAAATAAATAAGTTTGAGAGTCCTTGTATATGAATTGAACCTGTGCTCCCCTTCCATGGATCAAGCCTGAATGTTTCCCATTTCTCCAAGTGCTTTATGACCCCTGTGGGTTTAACACTTCTCTCATGAATATAATAATAATAATAATAGATAAAAGTTGGCAGATGTTGCAAGTATATGGAATAGGTGATAAGTTATTAAATGCTGTAAGGAATTTTTATGAGGATAGTGAGGCTCAGGTTAGGGTGTGTAGAAGAGAGGGAGACTACTTCCCGGTAAAAGTAGGTCTTAGACAGGGATGTGTAATGTCACCATGGTTGTTTAATATATTTATAGATGGGGTTGTAAAGGAAGTAAATGCTAGGGTGTTCAGGAGAGGGGTGGGATTAAATTTTGGGGAATCAAATTCAAAATGGGAATTGACAGTTACTTTTTGCTGATGATACTGTGCTTATGGGAGATTCTAAAGAAAAATTGCAAAGGTTAGTGGATGAGTTTGGGAATGTGTGTGAAGGTAGAAAGTTGAAAGTGAACATAGAAAAGAGTAAGGTGATGAGGGTATCAAATGATTTAAATAAAGAAAAATTGGATATCAAATTGGGAAGGAGTGAATGTTTTCAGATACTTGGGAGTTGACGTGTCGGCGGATGGATTTATGAAGGATGAGGTTAATCATAGAATTGATGAGGGAAAAAAAGTGAGTGGTGCGTTGAGGTATATGTGGAGTCAAAAAAACGTTATCTATGGAGGCAAAGAAGGGAATGTATGAAGTATAGTAGTACCAACACTCTTATATGGGTGTGAAGCTTGGGTGGTAAATGCAGCAGCGAGGAGATGGTTGGAGGCAGTGGAGATGTCCTGTTTAAGGGCAATGTGTGGTGTAAATATTATGCAGAAACTTCGGAGTGTGGAAATTAGGAAAAGGTGTGGAGTTAATAAAAGTATTAGCCAGAGGGCAGAAGAGGGGTTGTTGAGGTGGTTTGGTCATTTAGAGAGAATGGATCAAAGTAGAATGACATGGAAAGCATATAAATCTATAGGGGAAGGAAGGCGAGGTAGGGGTCGTCCTCGAAAGGGTTGGAGAGAGGGGGTAAAGGAGGTTTTGTGGGCAAGGGGCTTGGACTTCCAGCAAGTGTGCGTGAGCGTGTTAGATAGGAGTGAATGGAGACGAATGATACTTGGGACCTGACGATTTGTTGGAGTGTGAGCAGGGTAATATTTAGTGAAGGGATTCAGGGAAACCGGTTATTTTCATATAGTCGGACTTGAGTCCTGGAAATGGGAAGTACAATGCCTGCACTTTAAAGGAGGGGTTTGGGATATTGGCAGTTTGGAGGGATATGTTGTGTATCTTTATATGTGTATGCTTCTAAACTGTTGTATTCTGAGCACCTCTGCAAAAACAGTGATAATGTGTGAGTGTTGTGAAAGTGTTGAATGATGAAAGTATTTTCTTTTTGGGGATTTTCTTTCTTTTTTGGGTCACCCTGCCTCGGTGGGAGACGGCCGACTTGTTGAAAAAAAAAAAAGTTGGCTCTTTTCTTTGCAGATACTTTGAATGCTTTTATTCTTGGGTTCTACTGTTGGATCATTTATTTCCAGATATAACATATACAGTAGTTTATATAGTATTTTCTACTAGAACGTAAGTTCTCTGGTAGTTATGTATCAGTTAAAAGGTACGTGGCTTGTTAGGCTGCTTAGTATGGTAGGTTCAGAGTTTGAACAAATGAAAATACTGTAGTGCCATCATTTCCTGTTTCTCTTGTCCTGTCCAATACTGTATGTTGGTGAAACTGGTTGCTTCCTCTCTGACAGACTTAGCACTAACAAAGCTCTTTTCTGTCATGTCAGAGATCATAGCCATCATATTAATTAATCCTCTGCTAAAATTACATACCCTTCTATATTTCAAAGATGTTATCTTATTGATTCAAACAAGATGACTTTGCTTCCGTAGATGCCTGCTTTTCTCAATACAGTATCACATACCCTTTTCAGAACACTCATGACTTGACTTGACCTTTGCCGCTGCCTCCTCCTCATCCTCTTCTTTCTCCTCCTCTTCTTTCTCCTCCTCTTCTTTCTCCTCCTCTTCTTTCTCCTCCTCTTTCTCCTCCTCTTCTTTCTCCTCCTCCTCTTCTTTCTCCTCCTCTTCTTTCTCCTCCTCCTCTTCTTTCTCCTCCTCCTCTTCTTTCTCCTCCTCTCTCTTCTCCCCTTTCTTCTTCCCCCCTTTTCTTTCTTTCTCCTCCTCTTATTTCTTTCTCCTCCTCTCTTTCCCCTCCTCCTCCTCTTTCTCCTCCTCCTCCTCTTTCTCCTCCTCCTCCTCTTTCCCTCCTCTCCTCTTTCTCCTCCTCCTCTTTCTCCTCCACCTCCTCTTTCTCCTCCACCTCCTCTTTCTCCTCCTCCTCTTTCTCCTCCACCTCCTCTTTCTCCTCCTCCTCCTCTTTCTCCTCCACCTCCTCCTCTTTCTCCTCCTCCTCCTCTTTCTCCTCCCCTCCTCTTTCTCCTCCTCCTCTTTCTCCTCCTCCTCCTCTTTCTCCTCCTCCTTTCCTCTTGATCTGGCTTCTACATTTTCTGTGCATTGCCTGTCTTCTGACTTTCTTCCTTGTCTTTCCCTGCTTGGGCCAGTTGGCCTACTACATTTCTCTCATCCCACTTGGGAAGAGGTGTTAGTGTGTTGAGATACTTTATTCTCCAACACTTTCACACATAATACACTCACATTACTCTGTCACTGGCCCAGCATGAGCCAGTTGATCTGCAATGCTCTGTTCTTTTGCTTTTTCATACCACCACTACTACTACCAATTCTTTCACCTCTGCTACTTTATAATAATAATAATAATTAATAATAATAATAATAATAATAATAATAATATATCTTTATTTCTACAAATACGTGTACAAGGTATACAGGCCTAGCTGACATCAATAACATACTACTATATAGAAAGCTGCTTGCTATGCTGAGCATTTCAGGCAAATTAGGTCAGTTTTGTCCCAGGATGCGACCCACACCAGTCCACTAACACCCAGGTACCCATTTTATACTGATGGGTGAACATGGACAGCAGGTGTCTTAAGGAAACATGTCCTAATGTTTTCCAACTGTACTGGGGATTCTATTTCCGGACTTTTTTGTGTAAGCTGAGTGTGCTAGCGATCCAGCTACTTTTACTTTAACACAATTTCCCTTGCTACTGCCTTTACTATTACTCTTACTGCTACTACTGTTGTTACTACTACTACTACTGTTGTTACTACTACTACTACTGTTGTTACTACTACTACTACTGTTGTTACTACTACTACTACTACCCTGACATAGTGCTTAGTTTTGATTATAATAATAATACCCTTACTACTACTACTACTGGGTGAATCAGTAATACACAGTTACATTTTGGTACCTTGTTTAAGTAAGAGTGAATAAAGTTAGAATGGTCCCAAACTCCCTGTTGCTGCTGTTTTACAACTTAGTTTTTGTGCTCATCAGTGTTAGTTTTAATATAGTTTGATAAATAATGCAGTTTTACTTTGCCAAAATCCCAAAATCTCTCAATGATAGTTCCTTGTGAATATAATAATGGTATATAATCCTGACAAGTTGATAAGTAAGAGACATGTATAACAGTTAGGTATCTTTATTCAGAATAATTTTGCCTACACAGAAGGATTCTTCAGTCAAATGGACTGACCGTCTCAAAACTACTACTACAAGGGTGATGAACTGATTACATCATCTCTTCATCTCCACTGCATCCTCTGCCTTCCCTGTAGTATTCGATTGAAAATGCCTACTAAGTGAAACATTTTGGAATAAAGATACCTAGCTGTTGCACATGTGTCTTACTTATCGATACAGTTCCAAGTCGATACAGATTTGTGTTTGTACTGTAATCTTTTATTTCTTTATAGATTCTAAATAAAGTTTTTTAATTTCAGATCATATAGGTGGAATAATTCACATTCAAACAGCAACAAGGGTGCTACCACTTCTCCTAAAATTACAAGCAGCCTTTGGAAACAGCTGAGCGAGGAATGTGACAGTGTTAAAACTCCTGGTTTACATTCATCATGCTTGACTGAAAATCTCTCTCCATCGGAGAAGGATGTTTCTTTTAATAGTTCATCATCAGCATCTCATTCACAAGATCTCTGGCATACACAGCAAAGTCCTGCTTCTGGTCAGAGTGATGTCACCTTCCAGGTTATTCATAGTGATCCATGGGAGACATTGACTAATCAAACAAAAGCTTCTCGTGATCTGACAGAATTATCTATATCAAACTTGACTAGCAGTGCATTTAGACAATCAGACATTGATGTAAATAGGATTCCTAAGATAGGTACTGAAGAAAATACCTCCTCACTATTCACGAAGGATGTAAGATATGGCAAATATGAGCCTGGTGTAATAGGTACTGAACTAAATGAACCCACAAACCCAGCAAGTCAACTGTTTCCATCACATTCATATCCTCCAAGCAGTATATGGAATGAAAATACAGAAATACCAACAAATAGTTCCTTCCCATTATCTTCTTCACAAAATGAGTCATTTAAGCTGCATAATTCTTTAGCATGGAATAATATAATGTCTTCAGTGCCTCAGAGAAGTGTGTTGCATGATATTGGCAATGTAAATTACCCCTCAGTTGCTGCACCAGCTAGCGATTTTACATGTCAAAAACTACCTTCATCATATAATGCCTCAGCACCAGAGCTATGTGACAGCCAGAGAACCATAGCTTTTCACCCCCAGAAGCAACACACAGGTAAGTTGCATGTAAGTTTTATTAAAATATTTGCATTCAGCTGTGTAGCTGATCCATGTATATCTTTGTGTATACTAGTGTGATTGTTTCTGATAACTTATTGTACACAAGAACAGAACTAAGTTTGTGGGGTTCTGCCTTCAGTGTTTAATTGGTCAAATTAACACACTCGCTATTCTGATGTAATTAGCTTTAACATTGGAGCTTCCATCGTACTGTTACTAGCAGCAACTTGATGGTAATGTGGCAGTGAGTTCTACTTATTTCTTGTCTCATGGCAAAGACAGAAATGAGGTAAAAATCCTAGGTGGTGTCAAGCCAGTCATTTCCTCTCAGCATCCTTACTGGGTCAGGAGGGAGGCACGCACCCGTATGTGGGTACTTCGTGGATAGATTTGCATTTTTGTTGGGATCTGTTTGGTTTTTGAAGGACAGAGTGAATTATGAGATGTTGGGATTTGTTTGGCTTCTAGAGGACAGAGATCACTCTAAGAGGAGGGCTTGAGTTTTACTCATAAACTTGCACTTCCTTTCACAGTGGACATAGTGGCAGGTGGGTCTATGAAAGATGAGGTGAACCATAGAATAAACAAGGGGGAAAATGGTAGATGGTGTGTCAATGTATCTCTGTAAAGAAAGAAGTTTTTTCTATACAGTCAAAAAGGGGATATTACCAGAGTATAGCGGTACCAACACTTATATTTAGGTGTGAGACAGGGGCTTCAAACATTGTAGCAGTGCCCCGTGGCCTGATGCTAAAGCTCTTGCTTTACACGGCAAGGGTCTGGGTTCGATTCCTGGCTAGGGTAGAAACGTGGGGCATGTTCCTTACACTGGTTGTCTATATTCCCCATCAGTAAAATGGGTACCTGGGTGTTAGTCATCTGGTGTGGTCGCATCCTGGGACAAAACTGACCTAATTTGCCCGAAATGCTCTGCATAACAAGCAGCTTTCTATATACAGAGTACAGTATGTCACTGATGTCAGCCAGGCCTGTATACCTTATACATGTACTTGTAGAAATAAAGATATTATTATATTATTATAAAAGGAAGTGTTGATGTCATGTTTGAGATCAGTGTGTGAGGATAATATTATGCAGGGAATTTTGTGCATGGAGATTAGAAGACAGTGTGAGGTTACCAAAAGAGGGTTAAGGAGGGGGTTGCTGAGGTGGTTTGGGCAATTAGACAAGATGGAGCAGAATAAGGTGACTAATAGGGTGGATGGAAAGAGGGGCAGAGGTGATCCCAGGAAGGATTGGAGGAAAGGGGATAATGAGAGTTCTGAGTGTTAAAAGCTTGAACATCTAACAAGCTTGTGTGAATGCGTTGGCATGGAGACAGGTGATTTTTGTGGCTTCACGTACTGTTGTAGCGTGAGCAAGGTAACATGTTTGATGGGATTCAGGGAAGCTGGTTATGTGGACTTGAGTCCTGAAGATGGGCAGTACAGTGTCTGCCCTCTGAAGGAGGGGTGGGAATGTTTCAGTTTAGAGGGTCTTTTGAATTGTGATGTCTGTGCACTTCTGACAAGACAACTATTGAATGAATAATGGTGAATGTGTTCTTTTTTGGGGGCTGCCATTTCTTAGTGAGAGATGGCTGTTGTTAAAAAAAGTTTGGAACTACTGTAGATCTTTATTTTTGTAATGTGTTTAACATGGAAGAAAAAACTTTTACATGTGATTCTTGAGGTAATTAGTTAAAATACAGTACTGGTAAATGGTGTATGGTATTATCAGAAAAGGTTTTTGCTTTGCTTGATATTAAAATTGCCTTTTTTTATTTCTTTAAATATAAATATACATTTAAAGTAATTTCTTGCAGATTTAGTTGCTTTAATGCAAGAGCTGTCCATGTTTTCTGAAACAAGGAATGCTGGGCAACTGCCACATGATGGAAATACAATGCATACATATTCACACCAAAAATTTCCAGCCACAACCCAAGTGAATTCCCTTATTAAGGGATGTGTATTTTGTAAGAATAATAACTACCACTCCACCTTCTATAGATCCCATACATTAAAGGTAATTTTTTTAATATTATTTTGTCCTAAAATATCCATGCTTATTAGGTAGAAAATGAACACTCACTATCAGACAGTTTTATAGTACGTAAACAAATCGGTGGTAAATAAAGAATAAATAGTCACAGTACCATAAGTGGGTCAATACACAAATAACCCGCATATAGGAGAAAGAAACTCATGACATTTTGGTCCGACTTGGACCATTTACTAGTCGGACTGAAATGTCATTATAAGTTTCTTTCTCCTACTTGCAGGTTATTTGTGTACAATGGTAAATATATGAAGGAAGTGCTGTTAAAGACATTTGCTTATCAATGAAGATGTGGCATGATGAATGTACCACAACTTGTAATATCTGTATACAGAATGGTCTCTTTCTTTCTTTCAACACACCGGCCGTATCCCACCAAGGCAGGGTGGCCCAAAAAGAAAAACGAAAGTTTCTCTTAAATTTAGTAATTTATACGGGAGAAGGGGTTACTAGCCCCTTGCTCCTGGCATCCTAGTCGCCTCTTAAAACACGCATGGCTTATGGAGGAAGAATTCTGTTCCACTTTCCCATGGAGATAAGAGGAAATAAACAAGAACAAGAACTAGAAAGAAAATAGAAGAATACCCAGAGGGGTGTGTGTATATATATGCTTGTACATGTGTGTGTAGTGTGACCTAAGTGCAAGTAGAAGTAGCAAGACATACCTGAAATCTTGCATGTTTATGAGACAGACAAAAGACACCAGCAATCCTACCATCATGTAAAACAATTACAGGTTTTCGTTGTACACTCACTTGGCAGGACGGTAGTACCTCCCTGGGTGGTTGCTGTTTACCAACCTACTACCTAGGACAGAATGGTGTCATTGAAATCATTATCTGATGAAACATATTTTAATATGCTAAAAGAAGATTGAAGGTACTTGAGAGGCCCTCATTGCTAGACAGGAAGTAGAGATACAATAATATACCACATTTTATTAAGTGATGGAAGCAAATAAGCAAGGAAGAGCTTTTAGAACCATCACTGTGGAGAACAAGAGACCATAATTTTAAATTAAGGAAAGTATGTGGTAGAAAGGTTATTACAAAAGTATTTCTTTGTAAATGTTATTAGATGGTTGGAATGGGATCAAAGAAGAGGTAGTGCACTACAAATAGTACTTTCAATGTAAGTCTTGCTTAATGTCATGGATTATTTCTTGAGGCACTTCTAAAGATTCACTGTCAAAGGAGGTTCACCTTTCCATGAAATCCATTTCTAAGAATATATCTTGGTTCCAATTGGAAAGTGTTTGATATGAAAAAAATTTAAAGAAATTTATTGTACACTTTCTACCCCTTGTTTTTTTAACACACTGAGGTAGGGTGAGCAAAAAAAAAAAAAAATTCCCATGATTCATTTAATAGCTGTCACTAAAGAAGTGCACAGATGTCAACAGTTGAAATGGCTCACTGAATGACTTCCAGAAGTGTGATTTTTTTATATGATAATACAGTACAGAGGTACCCCGAGTTTCGTACAGCTCCCAACTCAAACAATTATGTAAGTGTATTTTTGGGGGTTTGAAACAGACTAATCTAATTCACAATATTCCTTATGGGAACAAATTTGTTCAGTAACAGCACTCAAACCGCCTTCTGGAACGAATTATGGCCGAAACTCGGGGTACTACTGTATAACATTGCCTATAAGTCAGACACCTGGTACCACTTTCAATTACAGTAGTTGTATATATGTCTGTGACTTCATCACCTGTGGAGTGCAGGTGGAGTACAGTATAATACAGTACGTGGATTCAGGTGACACATCCCTGAATATAAATATTACAACTAGTCTTTGACAGATAAATGCAAATATGTACCAAATATAATAATTCCAGATTTTTGTATGTTCCATTGAATATTAAAGTACTCTACTTACAGTTAGCAGTTAATCTTTTTAATGAAAAATAGACTAAATACTGTACAAGGAAAGATTATTTATTCATGATTGCAAAATGCTTTGCTTATACTTTATTTCAATAATCTGTCTAACCATGTCTTAAGTATAATTTTAAATTAGGAAAAATGCATGTAAATAGCACCAAAGTAGTGTATTGTGTCTCACACTGCTGCTTTTTTACTTTAATATACTTTCTTTCCAACAGGATGAGCGTGGTCATTGCCAGTGTCCTGTGTTGAGGCTTTATGTTTGTCCTCTCTGCAATGCTACTGGTGATTTTGCCCACACACTTAAGTATTGTCCACTAAATACTGTGACTAAAGGTGATCCAATCTCTGCAGGTCTTCCACCTGGCAAAGTCACAAATTGGAGGGAGGTGGCAAAAAGGATGTTAGGATATTATAGTGTAAAGCACTGATATTTTGCAATGTGATTGACACGTTATTTACTGAAATATTTTATATCATATATCAGGTATTTTTTTTTATATTTTGGATGTTAATTAACCTTTGTTGTTATTTAAGAACCTCATTTTACCAAAGAAAGGCATAAGGAAAATTTTCATAACCAGTTTTGTTGTCGAGTATTTATTTTATGGATGTGTCACTGTGTGTACATATAACATTGATTTAAAAAGTTTATTATACAGTTTATGATTATTAATATCCAATATTAAACCCTGAAAATTTGAATAATGAAAATATATTGACTTGTATTATCATGATTAGATAGATAAATAGTAATTTGACTTTTATTCCTGTTGAGGGGCTCCTAGAAGGTGTCTTAAAACCATAGTTGTTATATATATATTTAAAAAAAAGTAGTTAGTCAAAGAAGTGGAATATATTTTTCTAATATTTGTAGTTGGAAATGATGGTTTAATGTTTGAAAGCTTGTGATATCTCTTTATTGATTTGTCTTTAAGGACTCTTGCTTTATTGAAAGTCATAAAAATACATGTCTATTATTAATAAATATACTTGTCCTTATTTACATTGTGATTTTTTTGTGAATATTATTTTTGGATTAGTATTATTATTATTATATGTATTTTTGTGCTGTAGTAAATACAAAATTTATTATGACCATTTCAGCTAGTTTTTATACAATATATTAAGTGCCCTATATAGCATATTACCAAATTATGGAGAGTATACATGTATATTTGATCTACAGATGTTAATGTATAGAGAGAGTTATTTGTATTTATTAAAAACATTTATTTAGCATTTCACCAATATTTTTATAATTTGTATATGCATTTGTGGAAATGCATTTGCTGGTAGCACAAGTGACAATACTTTTCTGCATAGAATCTTCATGGAAGCTTCTGTATATGGCTAAGAGGGAGTTTTATTATTTGATTGTATATTCTTCTATTCTTTTAATGTTGGAATATATAAGATATTGGTTTGTATTTTTAGTATGTCATATGCAAAATTTCTTAATTTGCAGAATATCTCATTGCGATTAAAGTGACTTTAGCTGTTATAATTTAGTTACATGAATATGGATATTCTAAATAACACACAAAAGCTCTTGCACTATCTCTTTGTAAATTTCTGTGGAGAAATAATATTTAAACATTGGCTTGAATGATGATTTTAGGTAAAAATGACTAGTTAATATAGAAAAAAGATTCTTTGACACCTCTGTTGCTAGGTATTTTTATGATAGAAAATTCCTATTCATGTGAATAATGAAAATATATTACTCTCAGTTTATTTAAATTAACCCTTTCAGGGTCCAAGGCCAAAATCTGAAGTCACGCACCAGTGTCCAAGAATTTTCAAAAAAAAAATTTGTTATTTTTTCTTATGAAATCGTAGAGAATCTTTTTGTGAAGGTAATAAAACAAAAAGTACGAAATTTGGTGGAAAATTGACGAAATTATGCTCTCGCGAATTTTGATGTGTCAGCGATATTTACAAATCGGCGATTTTGCCGAATTTGACTCCCATTTTAGGCCAATTACATTATTCCAATCAACCAAATTCTTAGCTATTTCACTAGTATTACTTCTATTCTATCGATTGAGCACAAGAAATCGCCAAGTCAACTGTTTTCAACTACAAAATTAAAGTGATCGGAAATTGTTAATTTGGCCAATTTAACACAAAGTTCAAAATATTCCAATTTCAAAATAGGCTCCAGATAAAACAATGTAGGTATTCCTGGAACTAAACTAACATTTCCTCTATTCATTAGTTTCATTTTGAGGCTTTACAAATAAATTCCATTTTTATTTTTTATTCACATAATGAATTTTTATTCACACCAAAAAATAGAAGATTTACTGTTATGCAATACAGTAATAATTGTATAAATATCATCACCATATTTGTGAATGTATATTAGACCCACCAGCCGACGTGTATTAGATGTGTGAGGTCGTTTGTTTACTCTTGAATATCGGCAAAAATTTAACATTTCCGCTACTTTGAGCTCAGTTTCAAGCCATTTCCAGTGCTAAAACCAATCAAAATCATCTCTATTTCTGTAATATGTCTTCCATTCTATCAAATGAGACCAAGAAATTGCAAATACAACTATAAAAAACATACGAAAAAACACTGCAAAGTCGCTGTTTTAATCGAAAAATCATGGTTTCAGTTTTTTTCTCTCATACACAGTGTGCTGCAGGATCTGTTTTATGTGGTGCACACATACCACATAGATGTATTCTCTCATATCTAGGCCCAAATGTACCACTCACAGTTTATCAGAGTGAGCTGAGCTCATGGCGTAGATCTACGGTTTGGACACTCACCGTAAAGCCGTAGATCTACGGGACGGACCCTGAAAGGGTTAATATCCTCACTGCACATCTATAAAAAATAAGGGTATCAATTGAGAAAGCCAATGTGTTAAAATAAAATAATAAACATACAGATAACAAATTAAGAGGAACTTGAGAGTGCAAGGTTGATAAAATCAGAGAAGTTTCTCTTGCTGCTTAAATTGAAATCCAACCAAATTTTATTTGCAATTGACAAAAAAAAATTATTTTTGAAATAGCACAACATTCTGGTTTTAACTTCACATATACATTCCTATATTTGATCTGTATTTGTAAAGGATTAAAATTTGTATTGTGGCTGTAATAAAATTCTTGTATGTACTGGCCAAACTTGTGTAAATTTTGTTTTTAATATTGTATGATAGTCATGAACAATAAAGGATAAAATAAACGATGATTTGTAATTTCTTTTTTTTTATAGTTATACTTGCATGTTTATAGTTATGTGTGCATGTGCTCGAGCTTGCCAAGATGCATGGCAAAAACAAATCAACCATCATTTCCATCCTGGCGAAGAAAAAAGAAATCAAGGAAGCTGATGTTGTGATGGGGATTCCCCTTCCAAACAATAATAAGTCCTCCCTGTCTTCCATACGCCAACAAGAGTCTTCAATAAAGGTATGTAAATGTGATTTTAAATGTGTATTTATCTATTTCATTAGTCATTTAAGTACTATATGTATTTATAATTGTTTTGTATTTGTAAAACTATAGTTATTCTTTAAAAGTTTTTTTTTTTAATATTTTTGGGTGTCTGGAACGGATTAATTGGATTTACATTATTTCTTATGGGAAATATTGCTTTGACTTTCGAACAATTTGAGTTTCGGCCGAGCTTCTGGAACGGATTACAGCCAAAACTTGAGGTTCCACTGTACATACCATTACACTGTTTATTTTATATTTTATTTTATTTTATATTTTAAAGATGGGATGTGAAAATCTTAGCCATCTTAGACCATGCTTGGAATTACATTTTGGTCTCATCTGCATCAACTTCATCTCTGACAACTCTAATGCCCTGACATGCTTTCTTTGCATTCCTGTTTCTCTGAAATCAGAGGTGCTGCAGCACTTCTTGATGTCTTAACTGACACTCCTCTCAGGAGAGGTGCCTTGATGGCAGTAAAGAGCTATTAATCCAAGGAATTGGAACCATTCCTTCATTAGATCAAATATGATTGCCCTCCTTTCCCCATTTCCAAAGTGCTATATAACCTCTAAACCCCTCAAGGGAGGGTCCTTGTAATCTAAGTAACTTTTTGTATCTTCACCATTTTTATTCACTCCACAAAACTAAAGCTCTTTGAACTAGTTTAAACAATATGTAATTCTCTTCGTAAATGACTGTCATTAGCTACCCTTCTTATTGTACTTATGACTGTAGTTAACAGTACAAGAAGTCCTACATAATACATTACGTCAAATGCTTAAGTAGCATGTGTACTGTATTTCGCGGCTTATAAGACGTTCTTTTCATAAAATGTCTCCAAAAACCACACTACGTCCTATAAACTGAAGGTCAGTGATGGGAGCTGTAAGTCTGGGGTGTGGGGTGGGCTGTAGCTCGCCTAGTTATGTCTGACGCTTAGCCATTGAAACTAAAACAAGTCTTATTGGCTACTTCTTATGAGCCGCAAAATACGGTATGTCTTATGATTAGTTGCCCGAAATGCATTATTGCAAATTATCTTACAAAAATAATCCAAATTATTGGAGTTAATATCAGACATTGTGAAATTTATCATTCAGGTAAACCTTCATGGGAGGTTCCTTGATGCTGGTGAGGGGCTCTTGATCTAGGGAATTGGATCTGTGCTGCCATTCCCAAGATCAAGAGAGTTTAGATAAGATTCCATGTGGGGTGAGCTGGGAAGACGGGATAAGCGAAGAGTAGCGATGGAGAGGAGTGTCCACACTCGAAGAAAAAGAGCCAGGGCTTAACCCAGCTGCTAGGCGCTCGTGGGACAAACTTGGAGAAAACAGGAAGAGCAAGCTGTGTAAGCATCGGTCTCATGGTAGTTGAGATCTTGAGTCTTGAGAAGCTGACAGTTTCTAGGTCACAGGAGAGGGTAGGCAGGTAGGAATATTAGAGGGCAGCACACTGAATTGAATCTGAATACATTCCATCCTCTCCACCCCCCCCCCCCTACAGGCACTGTATAATCCTTGTGGGTTTATCAGTCCCCCATGATTATAATAATAATCATTCAGGTAAACCAACTTAATCTCAGAAATGCCTGTTCCTTGATCCAAAAGCAAAAGCAGCATTAGGGCACTCCTATTTTTTCTGGAAAAGTGAGTGAGACAAGGGCCCTGTCTTCTGGGAGAACTACACATATCTCAATTTTAAGTTTAAGGTTATGTAAAACTCATAAATTTTCGCATTCATGTTTTATTTCAAATTGTTTCATGGACACCATTGGTTGAATTAAACAAGCAAAATGAGCATGACTTAACCTCTATACATGATTTATATAGGAACCTTCCTCCAGATACAGATATTAAAAATCAGGGTATATACACCAAGAGTTTTATATATCCCTGTGTGTGTGCAGTTACTAATTGCTAAAAGGCACTTGTTGACTGACACTTGACCTGTTGTGTGTGGTATGTTTGAGTGTGTGTGTATGTGTGTACTCGCCTAATTGTGGTTGCAGGGTCGAGACTCAGCTCCTGGTCTGTGTGTGAGAGAGAGATCGCAAACAGGCGATAAAAACCTTAACCTAACCTTGTTAAACCCTGTGTAAAAAAAAAAAATGAGTTCGCAAACAGGCGATTAAAAGCTGTTGCAATGCTCCTGAAGAAGCATTCATAAAAGTTAGAAAAGCCTAGAGCTTGCATTTTTTTCATCCCTTAGTGGCTTGTTTTGCATGTGTATATACACTGAATGCAATATAATCCCTATTTTAGGGATTAATATATTAATTATGGTAGTGTACAAGATGATTATGGCCTCAATGACCCATATACACAATAGGCCTTAAACCTAACAAACACATTTTAAAATACTATAGGATCAACCATTTTAAAAATACCCAAATGTCTCCATAACATTTCTATTAAATATTAATAATATGAGACACTACATAATATGATGAGGGACTCTTGATCCAAGGATGCAGACTTATTCTACCTTGGGATGTTAATCAGGTTTCATCCAAAGGAAGGATGCTATCAGATTAGTATTATTATTATTATTATTGTAATCATGGGGGAGCGCTAAACCCGTATGATTATACATCACCTGTGGGGGGATGGAAGGCATTCAGGCTCAGTTCAGGGAACTGGAGCACAGATCCAATTCCCTAGATCAAGAGCCCCTCAACAGCATCAAGGAACCTCCCTTGAGGAGGATGCTATCAGAACTGGGGAACAGGACTGACATGCAAAGACATTTCACGGTCAATACTTGGTCACTGACACTGCATTAGATGTGGTCATTAAGATCTTCCACATCAGCTTTAAACACTAAGTTACTGGTGATATTTAACTAAACAAAGCCTGCCATGACAGATGATTGGTATTAAGTTAAAGTCCGCGATGTGCAGGACGACTGATGATTCCCAGTACTTGGTCAACATACTTGAGAACATAAGATAATCAAGGATTGCATCTCAGCTAATTAACGACCTATTCGACTAGAATGCCAGATGAAAGTACTAGGTTAATACGTCTCTACTCTTTAAGGGGGTATGTTGATGGTGGTGGAGGCTCTTGATCTGACGAATTGGAGTTACCCTCCCCTTCATCGCATCAAACCTGATTACCTCCCCTTTTCCAGGCGCTCTATGACCCCTGTGGTTTTAGCACTTCCTTGTTAATATAATAATAATAGCAGACCTTGGAGCCTTGAATGATGGCACTCTAGAAGACGTCAGAACCCGGTACAGTATGATATCCTTGATCTTTTCTGATGGTGGGCAGCTCTGCGGCACATTGCTCCTCGTGTAGCAGCTCCTGATTGTCCTCTTTCACTCTCCAGAACACTGTAGGTATTACTAGTCGACCCTTGTTTGGTCTGCAAAGAGACATTCAACATTTTGTATGTAATAATGAAGAAAAGACAAAAGTACAGAGAAAGCTTTATTGGAACTGCATATTATTTTTTAACTATATGTAGAATACCTTTGTTATACAGTGCCACTAAGATTTCTTTACAACAGAAAATGCAAGTTAAGTCTCTTCCAAGGGTAACGAGGTGCTTTAATGTTGATAAGGGCTCTTGATTCACCCTTCACTTGGATCAAGAGCCCTTCACCAGCATCAAGGCACCGCTCCCCTGAAGAATTGGGACACCACACCGAACCACAGAGACTTCAAGGGAAAGCTTATTTTACATGTAGAATAGCGGAATGAGGTAGTGACTGCTACATGAATGACACAGTAGAAGCTGACTATGTTAGGAGTCAAATAATTATAAGAGAGTTTGTTCATGCCAGTGAATTGTGAGTAAAGAAGTAGACGTATGAGCTAGAGTTCCTAGAGGAATAACTGAAGTAGCCGGTAGGAAATTAATACAGGCACTGGAAATGCTAACTAGTTCCACGATACATTAAACACTGAAGACGGGACATGACAAACAAGTAATCACTAAACAGGTAATCACCAAACAGGTAATCACTAAATAGGTAATTACTAAATAGGTAATCACAAATAACAGGTAATCACAAAACTTACTGAACAACCTTGACGGTGATGTAAATGCAGCATCCAACCAGGAGCCCCAAGAAGAATCCAATTCCAGCTCCTGCCCACTTCCACGAGGAGCTTGATGACGCCACAAGCATATCTGGGGTGACGGAGCTCTGAACTTCATCCCGGGATAACGTTGTTGGAGTCAGGACTATTGACGAAGCTTTTGGGGGTGACTTATTGAGTGCGGTGGTGGAAGTGGTAGTAGTACTAGTAGTGGTGGTTGTAGTGATGGTGGTGGCTTGTTTTCGTGGTTTTGCACTGGTCTCGCCAGAAATACTTTCCTTACTCTCATTATAATGTTTGTTTAGAAGTACCAGGGAGTGGTTGAGGGGTGAGAGAGGGTCAGCCAGGTACCCGAGCCAGTGGACCGTCTTGCCACTTACTGTCACGTTTTGGAAAGATACGCCACCATTTTTGCTGGCTACAATGCTACCCTCATCTGCAGTCCCGATTGACACATTGGAGAGCAACAATAGGCCATCTTTGACTACAATAGCACCCTTGGCCAGTGTGCCGAAGGTGACGTCTTGCATATGTGATAGTCCTTTAATGGTGATTCCGTCAGTCATAACTTGCTTGATAGTACTGTTGGAAATAATACCCTCGGCTACGATGGTGAGACCACCTTCGAGGAAGGTTCCTACTGTGGAATTGGTCATTATCATGCGACTGTCGGCCTGCATACCTCCCACCTCCACTAGCTGAGAATTATTGAAGACTCCAGTGTATCCTGTCCAATGAACACCAGATATTCTGGCTACTTTGCTTCCCTCTAGGTCCACGTCCCTGAGGGTGCGGTCAGGTGCCAGCAGGTCCACGCTGCAGGAGGTGAGTGTTACGTCCAACACACCGGAGGTGATGTTGGCGAAGTGTACACCAGTTGCCTCCAGCCATGTTTGACAATCCCTTCCATTATCCACTGTCGTTGCATTAACTTACGTCCATCAGGATGAGCTGTGGATTGAAACGGCATACTGAAAACTGTAGTGAAGAAAAGATATTACGTTGCACAAGGTTTTATTTGGAAACGCTCTGTAGAGCTTTATCAAGTCATTGTTAAAGCTCTACACAGAAAAATTTTGACATCATAAGTAGCTTGTTCAGCAACGTTTCATTTTTTTCAGAATGACTTGAATAAAAAATCAGAAAATAAATTTCAATAAGGATTTGTACGTAGTATTATTGACGAATATCACATAGCGTCTTCCGGAGCTATAATAATAAAATAATATCTGTATTTACTACAAGTACATGTACAAGGTATACAGACCATAGCTGACATCATGACATACTACTATATAGAAAGCGCTTGTTATGCTGAGCATTTCTGGCAAATTAGGTCAGTGTCCCAGGATGCGACCCACACCAGTCCACTAACACCCAGGTACCCATTGTACTGATGAGTGAACAGTGACAACAGGTGTAAAGAAACACGCCCATTGTTTCTACCCTGGCTGGGAATCGAACCCAGACCCTCGCCGTGTGAAGCGAGAGCTTCAGCCACCAGAGCCCCTTTGAGAGGAGGCAGGTGTTTTAAAGCACAACAATGACTCTCAATTATCAGGATGATGGTGATACGCTAAACCCATGGGAGGTAATCAGATATGATCCAAGGAAGGGCGTAATGCTCCAGTTTCCTGGAGCAAGACCCTTCAACAGTAGTCCGTAATCTTTTTTCACGATTTTAATATTCGTTCTTACTACATCCTTGAAAGGTAGGGGAGTTTTATATTGCTGAAGGGCTTTTGGTTCAAGGAACTGGATCAAGCCTGATTACTTCCAATTCCCCAAGACCTTTATGACTTGTTTAGTGTTTCCCACGAATATAATAATAATAATAATGGTTGATATAAATAATTTTATAAGAACAATATAGGAGACCTATTAGTCCATGCTAGGCTGGTCTAACTCGCCCAACCACACAATACTTATGCACTTACCTTCTCGATGCATGAAGGATAAATAAGAACTGAGGCAGCAAATGTGACAATAGCTCGGTGACTGAACTGACCCTCCGTCAGGTCAACAGTAACCTGACCCTGAAAAATAAATACTTTCGTCAGGTCAACTTAGATTAGATTAGATTTAGATTTTGCCACCGAAGTGGATAGTTTATTGTGCACCCCACATCCATCCTGTGGACGGTAGTGCAAGAACATATGGATACACAAAAGGCCTAGGAACTAGGCCCCAAAGGGTTAACAGGAATACATATGGATTTATATCTACACATCTATAGTTCACTTATCTGTTACAAGCAAATTTAGGAAATTTGCTTAGTATATCTGGTATCTTATTTTCATTAATAAGATATCTTGACATGTCACATAGGTTATTATACTGTCTGTCTCTGTATTCCTCAATAAGTGGACAATTAAGGCAGTGACCATATGCCTGATCACATAATTTACATTTAGTTTGATCATCTGTGTGTCAGGTCAACTGCCCTCGTGTATACTATGTTCTAGTCATGTTCCAAGTGTCATTTGATATTAAGATTTAGCACCTACAGTAGCATGGTATTACCAGAATTCATACATATAAAGAAAGCCACTACATTTAGGTGTGCGTTTAATGCTGTGTATATTATGTGTGAGGATTGTAACAATGTCATCATGTTTCTGTTCAGATTGACTGTTGTAATGGGAGACTGGTTGATTTTTGTTGATAATGTGTCCCTTACAAAGGTGTTTATTTACCTTTCCGTCTCATATATGGAATATAATAATAATAATAATAATAATAATAATAATAATAATAATAATAATAATAAATCTTTTTATTTACTACAAGTACATGTACAAGGTGTATAGACCATATCTGACATTAATGAGATACTACTGTATAGAAAGTCTCTTATTACCTGGAGTTTACCTGGAGAGAGTTCCAGGGGTCAACGCCCCCACGGCCCGGGCTGTGACCAGGCCTCCTGGTGTATCAGAGCTTGATCAACCAGGCTGTTACTGCTGGCTGCACGCAATCCAACGTACGAGCCACAGCCTGGTGAGCATTTCCCACAAATTAGGTCAGTTTTGTCCCAGGATGCGACCCACACCAGTCCACTAACACCCAGGTGACCATTTTACTGATGGGTGAACACAGACAACCGGTGTAAGGAAACACGTCCGATGTTTCCAGCCCTTCGCCGGGAATCGAACCCGGACATTCACCGTGTGAAGCGAGAGCTTTTTGCTTGGATAAAGTGTATTTGTATTGTGCAACCATAATCTTTTCATGTTAATGTATATTTGAATGACCTAGACAGGTTTTCTAAACATAACAGTGCTGCAACTCACTGATACCTATCAAAACACAACACCTACTCTATACCTGTTCCCATCTTCCATGCTCACCCCAAAAGGGTTTTTCTTTATATAATTCAATTTTTAAAACACAACCAGTAACGCTCTCGCCTCACACACTGAGTGTCCATGGTTCAATCCCCGGCACGGATGTTTCCTTATACCTGCTGTCCCTGTTCACTTAGCAGTAAGTGGGCACCTGGGTATTAGTCGCCTTACACCTGCTGTCCCTGTTCACCTAGAAGTAGGTACTGGTATTTCGCCTTACACCTGCTGTCCCTGTTCACTTAGCAGTAAGTGGGCACCTGGGTATTAGTCGCCTTACACCTGCTGTCCCTGTTCACCTAGAAGTAGGTACCTGGGTATTAGTCGCCTTACACCTGCTGTCCCTGTTCACCTAGAAGTAGGCACCTGGGTATTAGTCGCCTTACACCTGCTGTCCCTGTTCACCTAGAAGTAGGCACCTGGGTATTAGTCGCCTTACACCTGCTGTCCCTGTTCACCTAGAAGTAGGTACCTGGGTATTAGTCGCCTTACACCTGCTGTCCCTGTTCACCTATTAGTAAGTAGGTACCTAGGTATTAGTCACCTTACACCTGCTGTCCCTGTTCACCTAGAAGTAGGCACCTGGAGTTTACCTGGAGAGAGTTTCGGGGATCAACGCCCCCGCGGCCCGGTCTGTGACCAGGCCTCCTGGTGGATCAGCGCCTGATCAACCAGGCTGTTGCTGCTGGCTGCACGCAAACCAACGTACGAGCCACAGCCCGGCTGATCAGGAACTGACTTTAGGTGCTTGTCCAGTGCCAGCTTGAAGACTGCCAGGGGTCTGTTGGTAATCCCCCTTATGTGTGCTGGGAGGCAGTTGAACAGTCTCGGGCCCCTGACACTTATTGTATGGTCTCTTAACGTGCTAGTGACACCCCTGCTTTTCATTGGGGGGATGGTGCATCGTCTGCCAAGTCTTTTGCTTTCGTAGTGAGTGATTTTCGTGTGCAAGTTCGGTACTAGTCCCTCTAGGATTTTCCAGGTGTATATAATCATGTATCTCTCCCTCCTGCGTTCCAGGGAATACAGGTTTAGAAACCTCAAGCGCTCCCAGTAATTGAGGTGTTTTATCTCCGTTATGCGCGCCGTGAAAGTTCTCTGTACATTTTCTAGGTCGGCAATTTCACCTGCCTTGAAAGGTGCTGTTAGAGTGCAGCAATATTCCAGCCTAGATAGAACAAGTGACCTGAAGAGTGTCATCATGGGCTTGGCCTCCCTAGTTTTGAAGGTTCTCATTATCCATCCTGTCATTTTTCTAGCAGATGCGATTGATACAATGTTATGGTCCTTGAAGGTGAGATCTGGGTATTAGTCGCCTTACACCTGCTGTCCCTGTTCACCTAGAAGTAGGTACCTGGGTATTAGTCACCTTACACCTGCTGTCCCTGTTCACCTATTAGTAAGTAGGTACCTAGGTATTAGTCACCTTAAACCTGCTGTCCCTGTTCACCTAGAAGTAGGCACCTGGGTATTAGTCGCCTTACACCTGCTGTCCATGTTCACCTAGCAGTAAGTAGGTACCTGGGTGTTTGTCGAATGGCATTAGTCGCATATGGAGAACAAGGTTAAAGGGCCACAATGGAAATAAAACAGTCCTCGATGACGCACTGGTTTTATTGGGTTACCTGAGTGGCTAACTCCCCCTAGTTAAAAATCCGAACAAATCTTATCTATTAAAAAAAGTCCACCTAGTCATTGCTGAGCGCCAGTGTAATAGATATCAACAGTCATCCTATATAGGTAGTGCTGCAACATCTTCAAGAGGCCCAGGATATATGAATATAGGTCTCCATGTATGTGACTCCATGTATGTAGGATTAGAGTTTAATCTTACTTGTGCAACCAAACAATCCCTAGCAACATGTTACTGCTATCATGGGTGGTTAGGGTAGGTAAGGTTCATAGGGAAACAGGACAAGTGTTTACTGACGTGGGTCTTAGTCAGATGACCCACAGCTGGAGCTTTTGGTCATCTGACCGAGGCCTTCCACTGGCTTACCGGTCCACCCCAAAAATTAAGGTTATATTGCAACGAGTGGAGAACTGCATACCTCAGGAGCGCTGGAGAAGTTGCAGATCTGATGAAAGAGCAGAAGTTTGTGGCAGAAAGGAGACCTTTGGACATTGGTGACGGTGAGATTATTAATATTCTCTATAGACAGCGGTGGACTTCTAATATTAACGATGTCAGAGAGGCTAATTTCTTCTGCAGTTACCTGTAGTAACAACACCAGGGAATAAAATGAGTCAGATCTATGCACGGAAATACGTTTAACTGCTGCAAAGGAGGAGTTTTAGGGGAATGTTTCATAAGTTTATTTCTACAAGGATTTTTTTGTGTATTTATACATCAGAGGAATGTTGAAGATAAGCGTTCATTCAGACATCCTCAGAGATATTTTAAAACTGTTTGCATGAACACAAAAAAAAAAAAGCTCATCCATTTCTACTCTTTTTTTTTAGTGTGGTATTTTTGTATAGTTGCAGTCAGGCACTTTTTAAGTTATTTCCTTATCCCATAACTGTAAAAACATCTTTCAAAAGGAATTCCATTAGTCATGCATTGTTTTTGTAAAATTTTAAGAGTTCCCATTAGTCTAAATAATGATAATCTAACTTAGGTAATACATTGGACGACATATCCACCCAACAGTAAGGAATTACCTCTTGTCCATTATTATTATTATTATAAAGGGGGGAAGCGCTAAACCCGGAGGATTATACAGCGCCTGGGGGGGGGGGATGTGGAAGGCATTCAGGTTTAATTCGGGGAACTGGAGCACAGATCCAATTCCCTAAATCAAGAGCCCCTCACCAACATCAAGGAACCTTCCTTGAGGGGAACTCTTGTCCAATGGCGGTTCGTAGCGCCAGTAATACCTATACTATTGTACCGCATCAAATTTCTATTTTTAATCATTTTTATCTTATTTCAACAAAAAAATATTCGCTTATAAATACATTGAAAACAATATACAACAGATTTTTCCTGTAATATATTTGTCAATTGCAAATTATTTTAGCGTAAGATTGATGAAGTCATAAGTTTGGCAGTGAGCATCTCGGGGGACTGCAGCTCTGCAGCTCCTATGGACGAGCCGCCACTAACTCTTGTCATGTAAGTGTGAAATGAAAGCATGTTAAACGTTTTGCACTCTGGCAGAAATGCTGATCTGTTTTGTGTGTACGATGAGCATATTAATTACTACTTACATTCAATATATATTTAAGTTCCTGTATGTGTCTTAATAGGTTTTTTTTATTATTATATTATTTTTAACTAAGGAGACTTGGGGCAATGATCTCCAAAATCATTAACAAATATATATCCTTAGCTGCGCACCTGATTTAAGGAGGTGGCGGAAACGATACCGTAAGACGGCAGGAGAAACTTGCCCCTGATCACGTTGAGAGTAGCACCTTCTTCCAAGACGATGGAGTCCTTGGCTGCCATGATTCCCAAGATGTCACTGACGATGAGTTTGCTACCGTTGCGTACCACGAAGCTCCTTCGCTCGAGCCTCGATGCTTTCAACTGCTGTAAGACGCTAGTTTTGTTGGGGTGATCCACGGTTACAGAGCCACCACTAACCTGCAACATATGTAAGGTTCATACAAACTGCAGTGGGGACACAAACTCGCAGTTCGCATGTACATTCATATAATATATATATAATTTAATGTGAATGTACACGCGTATAATATCTCAAATCGAGGGTGGAGTTATGTGAGAGGGAACCAGTTACTCACCTTCTCTCGCAGACGGACTTTGCTGGCAGAGATGGGAGAGACAATGGTGATGTTGAAGAGGGAACCAATGGAGACGTCTTGCCACGAGGCTCCGTCTCCTGAGAGCAGCAACCCGTCCAACTCCTCCACCGTGGAATTGACAAGTACCAGGTTCTGCAGTTGGCCTCCGTGAAGCCTACTGACTGTACTGTGAGATATATTCATGGTGTCGATGTGCGCTACTGACACCACTTCCAGTTTGGAATGCCATGCGCTGACGGCGATGGTGCATGGGGGCTTGGAATCCCCACTAGTAATGGGGAGAATGTGGGGAAGAAAGGCAGAAGACCACTGCAACTGCAGTTCCGTGCCACAATTGAGAGACAGTATCCGCACGTCCCTTGCATTGCGTATGTTCAACACTCGGTATGGCTTGATACTGTCACCATGCACAACCACCGTCTGAAAAATGCACACGTTCTCATGATAGTATTCTGAACATGATTATTTTAGCTTCAGGCACACCCGCAGTGTGAGACAAGATTATTACTTATGAGATATATTATGGGGATATTTATACAGAGCGGCTGTATTATTCTGTAAGTTACACAGAGATACCCACAGTGTGGGCTACAACTGTTCTGCGTTAGTTACATTGTAAGAATGAAAGGTAATCAAATATGATTCAATGAAATGGAGAGTAACACCAAATCCTCGGGTCAAGCTTCCCTCAAGAGTACCTTAAGAGTACCAAGGTAAACAATGTATGCTACAAGGCTAACCCTTTACAAGGTTTGTCTCTCGGAAACTTACCTCATTAACGTTGTTAAGGTCGCAGCTGAGGGTGGTGCTGCTGCTGGAACACAAGTCATTCAAAGACTCTATTTGCATGGGTAAGGAACTAGACAGCTTTTCGTCGTCCCGAAACTTGAGATACGGAGAGGTGTAGTTGAGTGGAACACCCTTGATCGTCACGTTAGTAAGGGAGATCTTCTCTTTATCAGGAAGGACAATACACGGAGCGAAAGCCGACATAATAGTTACATTGTTCAACGCCAGGAATCCCATTGGCGTTGTCATGACAATGGCGTTCATCTCCAGGAAGTCTATGGTTACATTAGTGAAGGACACGGCACCGATGTCGATCGTCAGGCCTTGTGGCGCTACATGTAAGATGGTCGTGTTGATAACGGACATTTCGCGAGCATGAAATGTCATCCCTTCAGTGGTAACGAAGCCCAAATGGCTCTCCAGAATGTACCAGCTGTCTTTGGCCACGATGTGACTCACACGCTGGATAGAGGTATTGAGGATTGTCCCACGGTAGCCTTCCCATTCCAGAGCCTCTACTGACTTGATTGTCGAATTGATGGCCATGAAATCCCGTTGGTCGACAAGATTAATGGTGTTGACCTGAGTATCGACGAGGGTCAGGTCCTTGACGCCATAGGCTACAGTGTCCACTTTGGAGTTGTAAACTCTGAGCCAAGTTCGACAGTCTGGAGCCTCCTGTACCAGTTGCAGAGGCCGATGGAGGGAGAAGGCGATACGCATATGTTGAGAAAGAAGACATTAATTATCAACATTTTTTTAACACATCGACAGTTTCCTACCAAGGTAGCAGTTACTCAAAGAAGGAAATCTTTTAGCCATCACTCGTTCCATAGCCATCTTACTAGAAGTAAATGGACATCAGCGTTCAAATGACTCACCTAACCACATCTGCATTCGTTCAGAATGCAAACAATGTACTTCCCACCGCCAAAACTCGTGACCAGCTACTATCTAATTGATAAATTAGACACATCTGCAACTCTTGGATATCTTTATTAAGGAAACGTTTCGCCACACAGTGGCTTCATCAGTCCATACACAGGAGAAGCTTGAAGAACAGGAGGAGAATGAGGTAATCAGTCCCTCAACCTTGAGTCGATGTGGTCAGTCCATCAATCTTGAGTAGAATACTCAAGATTGATGGACTGACCACATCGACTCAAGGTTGAGGGACTGATTACCTCATTCTCCTCCTGTTCTTCAAGCTTCTCCTATGTATGGACTGATGAAGCCACTGTGTGGCGAAACGTTTCCTTAATAAAGATACCCAAGAGTTGCACATGTGTCTAATTTATCAACGTGTCGGTTCTGTGAACCATTCATCTACAATACTATCTAATTGTTGAATATAACACACTAGGTGATTAGCTGCAGTAAACATATATATATATATATATATATATATATATATATATATATATATATATATATATATATATATATATATATATATATATATATATATATATATATTAGTATATATCAATAACAACACTGCGATTAGCCAAGGACTCGAACCTATGTCGTTTTGACCCGCCTCATGATGAGCGAAAATCACATGACGCTCTAACCCACAGAGATTAGATTTTTAGCCACCAAATCCTACAAAATCAAGCACCCAGCAGAGTTAGGTGTTTTACCTTGATCCGAGGACATACGGTGGTGTGGGTGCCTCTGACCTAATTTCATTCTACTCCTCGTTTGGTGTACTAGCCTCCACAAGAACTCCTCGTGGAGGATAGTACACCAAACGGGGAGTAGAGGCAGCCAACGTCAAAAGCTATGAGGTGTGAGGCTTACTTGTGACGGGAGAGTGTTGACGAGGCCGGCACTGAACACTTGTATCCATGATACACAAGTAGGGTAGACATGAAGAGTTTTAGCCTCGTGCACCTCTACCTCCAGCTGACCCGAGGAGAGACGTAAGCCAGCTGGTACCACCACCACCTGGAGCACGTGTTTTATACACTTTTTAAGAGTAGGTATAAGAAAATAATATTTATTCTATATTATAAAAATTACAGCACAACTTGATATTTAAAGTTAAATATTTAGATTTTTTTTTTTTAGATTTTGCCACCGAAGTGGCTAGTTTTATTGTGCACCCCATATCCATCCTGTGGACGGTAGTGCAAGAGTATATGGATATACAAAAGGCCCAGGAACTAGGCCCCAAAGGGTTAACAGGAATACATATGGATTTATATCTACAGTTCAATTATCTGTTACAAGAAAATTTAGGAAATTTGCTTAGTATATCTGGTATCTTTTTTTTTTTTTTATTATCACACCGGCCGATTCCCACCAAGGCAGGGTGGCCCGAAAAAGAAAAACTTTCACCATCATTCACTCCATCACTGTCTTGCCAGAAGGGTGCTTTACACTACAGTTTTTAAACTGCAACATTAACACCCCTCCTTCAGAGTGCAGGCACTGTACTTCCCATCTCCAGGACTCAAGTCCGGCCTGCCGGTTTCCCTGAATCCCTTCATAAATGTTACTTTGCTCACACTCCAACAGCACGTCAAGTATTAAAAAACCATTTTGTCTCCATTCACTCCTATCAAACACGCTCACGCATGCCTGCTGGAAGTCCAAGCCCCTCGCACACAAAACCTCCTTTACCCCCTCCCTCCAACCCTTCCTAGGCCGACCCCTACCCCGCCTTCCTTCCACTACAGACTGATACACTCTTGAAGTCATTCTGTTTCGCTCCATTCTCTCTACATGTCCGAACCACCTCAACAACCCTTCCTCAGCCCTCTGGACAACAGTTTTGGTAATCCCGCACCTCCTCCTAACTTCCAAACTACGAATTCTCTGCATTATATTCACACCACACATTGCCCTCAGACATGACATCTCCACTGTCTCCAGCCTTCTCCTCGCTGCAACATTCATCACCCACGCTTCACACCCATATAAGAGCGTTGGTAAAACTATACTCTCATACATTCCCCTCTTTGCCTCCAAGGACAAAGTTCTTTGTCTCCACAGACTCCTAAGTGCACCACTCACTCTTTTTCCCTCATCAATTCTATGATTCACCTCATCTTTCATAGACCCATCCGCTGACACGTCCACTCCCAAATATCTGAATACGTTCACCTCCTCCATACTCTCTCCCTCCAATCTGATATTCAATCTTCATCACCTAATCTTTTTGTTATCCTCATAACCTTACTCTTTCCTGTATTCACCTTTAATTTTCTCTTTTGCACACCCTACCAAATTCATCCACCAATCTCTGCAACTTCTCTTCAGAATCTCCCAAGAGCACAGTGTCATCAGCAAAGAGCAGCTGTGACAACTCCCACTTTGTGTGTGATTCTTTATCTTTTAACTCCACGCCTCTTGCCAAGACCCTCGCATTTACTTCTCTTACAACCCCATCTATAAATATATTAAACAACCACGGTGACATCACACATCCTTGTCTAAGGCCTACTTTTACTGGAAAAAAAATTTCCCTCTTTCCTACATACTCTAACTTGAGCCTCACTATCCTCGTAAAAACTCTTCACTGCTTTCAGTAACCTACCTCCTACACCATACACTTGCAACATCTGCCACATTGCCCCCCTATCCACCCTGTCATACGCCTTTTCCAAATCCATAAATGCCACAAAGACCTCTTTAGCCTTATCTAAATACTGTTCACTTATATGTTTCACTGTAAACACCTGGTCCACACACCCCCTACCTTTCCTAAAGCCTCCTTGTTCATCTGCTATCCTATTCTCCGTCTTACTCTTAATCTTTCAATTATAACTCTACCATACACTTTACCAGGTACACTCAACAGACTTATCCCCCTATAATTTTTGCACTCTCTTTTATCCCCTTTGCCTTTATACAAAGGAACTATGCATGCTCTCTGCCAATCCTAGGTACCTTACCCTCTTCCATACATTTATTAAACAATTGCACCAACCACTCCAAAACTATATCCCCACCTGCTTTTAACATTTCTATCTTATCCCATCAATCCCGGCTGCCTTACCCCCTTTCATTTTACCTACTGCCTCACGAACTTCCCCCACACTCACAACTGGCTCTTCCTCACTCCTACAAGATGTTATTCCTCCTTGCCCTATACACGAAATCACAGCTTCCCTATCTTCATCAACATTTAACAATTCCTCAAAATATTCCTTCCATCTTCCCAATACCTCTAACTCTCCATTTAATAACTCTCCTCTCCTATTTTAACTGACAAATCCATTTGTTCTCTAGGCTTTCTTAACTTGTTAATCTCACTCCAAAACTTTTTTCTTATTTTCAACAAAATTTGTTGATAACATCTCACCCACTCTCTCATTTGCTCTCTTTTTACATTGCTTCACCACTCTCTTAACCTCTCTCTTTTTCTCCATATACTCTTCCCTCCTTGCATCACTTCTACTTTGTAAAAATTCTAAATATGCTAACTTTTTCTCCCTTACTACTCTCTTTACATCATCATTCCACCAATCGCTCCTCTTCCCTGCCTGCACCCACTTTCCTGTAACCACAAAACTTCTGCGGGAACACTCTAACACTACATTTTAAAACCCTACCCATACCTCTTCGACCCCATTTGCCTATCTCTCTTTAGCCACATCATCCTCCAATAGCTGTTTATATCTTACCCTAACGCCTCCTCTTTTAGTTTATAAACCTTCACCCTCTCTTCCCTGATGCTTCTATTCTCCTTGTATCCCATCTACCTTTACTCTCAGTGTACTACAACTAGAAAGTGACTGATATATCTGTGGCCCCTCTATAAACATGTACATCCTGAAGTCTACTCAACAGTCTTTTATCTACCAATCATAATCCAACAAACTACTGTCATTCGCCCTACATCATACGTGTATACTTATTTATCCTCTTTTTCTTAAAATATTATTACCTATAACTAAACCCCTTTCTATACAAATTTTCAATCAAAGGGCTCCCATTATCATTTACACCTGGCACCCCAAACTTACCTACCACACCCTCTCTAAAAGTTTCTCCTACTTTAGCATTCAAGGTCCCCCCCACAATTACCCCTCTAAACTTGTTTTCAAAGGCTCCTATACATTCACTTAACATCTCCCAAAATCTCTCTCTCTCCTCTGCATTCCTCTCTTCTCCAGGTGCTACACGTTTATTATACCCACTTCTCGCATCCAACCTTTACTTTAATCCACATAATTCTTGAATTTACACATTCATATTCTCTTTTCCCCTTCCCATAACTGTCATTTAACATTACTGCTACCCCTTCCTTTGCTCTAACTCTCTCAGAACTCCAATTTAATCCCATTGGTATCTTTTTTTCATTAATAAGATATCTTGACATGTCACATAGGTTATTATACTGTCTGTCTCTGTATTCCTCAATAAGTGGACAATTAAGCACATAGTGTTCAAGAGAGTGACCATATGCCTGATCACATAATTACATTTAGTTTGATCATCATCTGTGTGTCTCCCAAACTGCCAGAAGTACTTGTAACCAAGCCTAAGCCTCCCCACTACAACATCAGTCAGTGTTCACATTGCAAGTTGCTCCATAAACATACTTATCTACGTTCATGTTATCATAGTGGGTTATAGATCTACTCAGGCTTCTAACTGCATTCCTATAACATTCATTTTCATTATTTACTTCTCTCCTAATATTATTCCTACTGCTAGACACAGTTATACCAAAGTTATATTCTACGTTATATTCTACTTTAATCCACATAATTCTTGAATTTACACATTCATATTCTCTTTTCTCCTTCCATAACTGATCATTTAACATTACTGCTACCCCTTCCTTTGCTCTAACTCTCTCAGATACTCCAGATTTAATCCCATCTGGTATCTTATTTTCATTAATAAGATATCTTGACATGTCACATAGGTTATTATACTGTCTGTCTCTGTATTCCTCAATAAGTGGACAATTAAGCACATAGTGTTCAAGAGAGTGACCATATGCCTGATCACATAATTTACATTTAGTTTGATCATCATCTGTGTGTCTCCCAAACTGCCAGAAGTACTTGTAACCAAGCCTAAGCCTCCCCACTACAACATCAGTCAGTGTTCACATTGCAAGTTGCTCCATAAACATACTTATCTACGTTCATGTTATCATAGTGGGTTATAGATCTACTCAGGCTTCTAACTGCATTCCTATAACATTCATTTTCATTATTTACTTCTCTCCTAATATTATTCCTACTGCTAGACACAGTTATACCAAAGTTATATTCTACGTTCTCCTTCTGGGTACTCTTCTTGGCTAACATATCAACTTTATCATGAAGGAGTAATCCAATGTGTGATGGGATCCATAGCAATTGTACATTAATTCCCCAATGAGCATGTTGTTGGAATCATTATATGAGTCAAGAGCCTTCAATGATGACATAGAATCAGTAATGATGATAGAGTCAAGCTCGGTGTCATAGGTTAGCTTTAGCGCCATTAGGATTGCAAACAATTCAGTTTGCAGTGTAGACGCCCAGTTGTTAATTCTTATGCCTAACTCAACAAGTTTATGATCGTACTTAACTAGGGAGGTGGCAACAAGAGCAGATGCAGCGCTGCCAGAAGACTCCTGTTTAGATCCATCAGTGTATATAACTTGTGATAACTTATTACTACCAACTAGGCGAAAAATTTCTTCTTGAGCAGTTGCTCTAACAAGTGATTTAAGGAAGGGATGACCAGCAATGAGCTTCTTGGGAGGGACTTGCAGGTACCTGGAGTTTACCTGGAGAGAGTTCCGGGGGTCAACGCCCCCGCGGCCCGGTCTGTGACCAGGCCTCCTGGTGGACCAGAGCCTGATCAACCAGGCTGTTGCTGCTGGCTGCACGCAAACCAACGTACGAGCCACAGCCCGGCTGGTCAGGAACCGACTTTAGGTGCTTGTCCAGTGCCAGCTTGAAGACTGCCAGGGGTCTGTTGGTAATCCCCCTTAT